ACGTATTAAAACTTAAAACAATAGAACGATAATAGTTTGACGAGAGATAATAATGGTAATGAATTTTACTTTACCTTTCTTTCTCTTGGGCACCACTCTCACACCGATCGCAAGTTCAGTCACAACGCACAAAACAAGAGTCAGAAAATAATATCTTCCACTGCACCCCATGTTATCACACAAAGTTTGATGCCTGTATAAAACAAATGACTACAAAGGCCTCCAGTGACGGTGCATTGGCCCGTTGGCTCGAGTGTTCAGGACGCGTATAATCCCAGCAGCGTGAGTCGCACGCGCACGCAGCACTAACTTGCTGGTAGAAGACGATAGTACGGAGACACGCGCGCCGAGTGCTCCACGAACGAGTCAACCGCCCGACTACCCTATATTTTGACTTATAGCAATTTGGCAGTGCGAATTCCACTTGTATATAAAACCTTTCGCCGGGCCGGGGCGGGCGGTCATTGGTCGCGCGCGGCGTGCGGCTCGAAGGTGAAGGGAGCTGGAGTAGCCCCCTCCACCTGTAGAGGGGGCACGCCAGGGTCGGCAGACACTTTTGCTATCGACGGCGTGCGATAGCTATCATGCTTTAGAGGCTGTACCGTTGTGCTCCGATTATTACGTCACTCAACGCGCAGCTGACGTGTAACAGCAGTCGATTGAGGCATTCAGATCACAAAACATTCAAATGATATCAAAAAACTATTTATTACTTGTCCAGTTACCGTTACTGAGTTGCAAAGATTTGACTCAGAAATAAAATTGAATATAGTATAATAGAGATATTTTATATAGTCCTGAAACAGAATAGACGATCGATTCTGTAAGTCTCTATAAGAACTGATGCATCTCATTGACCCGCACAGTCACGTATCTAGAGGTAGTTCATTTGAATCATTAGAGCCCTTAATTAATATGGTGTTATGACATCGAACTAGAGATTCATTACGATTTAGTTTAAATGCTGGTCACTGTTAATACCTACTTAATGGATGAAGAACCCAGATCAATTGGTATATTGGTTTTTTATTGGGGTTACAGAACCTATTTTCAGTGGATTTTTTGTGGCTAAAATGATAATGAATACATTGCAGGTTTACACTATATTCGTCACATTGATAAAAGTTATGGCTTAAGAGTTATAAATGTCTTCACATATTACATTAAATGAATAGAAGTTATACCACAACACAACGTCCTCTACATCAAACCAAAAAATACGGAACCAACATACTACACAAAATTTTACTTTAATTAGTGCTCTTAAAAACGTTTTTAAATCGTTAAAGACACAAAAACGAGGAAGTGTTTTACGTAATTTGAAGCTTAAAATGCGTATGAGCAAAGTGAGGTGAGATTTTTCGCCTCCTCAATTACTATACATACTTGTGTTTTTTAATTTTTTGCAAGTAAATACTATGCTTCGTCATCATGTAATTTTAGTGTAAAATACTGCGCTCTCGTAATCTGTGTTATTAACAATAGATTGTGTGTCTGTGTATGCGTAGCGCAATTTTTTTTAATATTGTACGTCGAGTGATTGCTAGGTAGGTTTTGTGATTGTATATGTATAAAACTATGACTTATGAGGTGTCAAGATTGGAGTGAGAGTCAATTAGAATCGTGGCCACTAGATTTTTCCATTAAAATATGTAGTCTAAATAATAGTTTAAATGAAGGACTCCAGTCCTATTGGGTTGTAGAGTAAAGGTATCTTATCAAGTAAAAATTATTGCAGAATGGATGCACAAGCAGAAGTCGAGTGAATAATACAGTTCAACGCATCTTTTTATTTCATAAACCATCTCGTGAATCAACTACCTACAGTCTTATGATGCAGTTGTTGCAACTAATGCGATGTGTTCACGTTTTAATTTATTTTTCAGTGTACTTTACATTCAACAATGGTTAACGTTTCCGCAAAGCTTTTAATTGATATAATAATATAATTGCTTCGTCACCAGAATTGTTATTAATAACAATATAATGGAATTCAGATATTATCTTTAAAAATAATGTTATAAAACTGCTATTGTGTTCTGCAGAGTAAAGATGTATTTTCAAATTGTAAGTTAATGGATCTGGGATCACGTGAGTAGGTGCACATTTTTATAAGAGGTACTAAATACGTTAGAACAAAAGCGAACACAGTCTCTTGAAATAACGACTGTGGCACCTGGTTACTATACTTTTTTTTATGGGATAAGCCGGTAAACGAGCTGACGGATCACCTGATGGTAAGCAATCGGCGTCGCCTATGGACACCTGGAACACCAGAGGCGTTACATGTGCGTTACCGGCCTGGTTATTTGGATTGAGAATTTCAGAATTGTTGGCGATTCAGGGTTTGGGGAAGGAGGGGGGCCTCCGGTAACCTCACTCACACGTCGAAACACAACGCAAGCGTTGTTTCACGTCGGTCTTCTGTGATCGTGGTATCACTCCGGTCGAGTGGCAGACTTACACGCAGAACGTACACACATTGACATGAAGGACATTTTCGTAAGTCTGATAACGTGGTAACTAACGGCGGTAACCCATATTACATGCACACACAAATAATCCACTAAAATTTAGATGCTTCAGTCACATAAGTGACATTATGTCCGATTTTTTTCAACATCCTTAGAGATGATGATGACCAAGAAGATACAAGCGTAAGTATCTCACGTACTTACGCTTGTATCTTTTTGGTCCGACATATTACCTACGCAGGAATAGACATAGATACATCTTCTACTGCGATGGTCTAACTGCAACTCATTATGGCAGACACCTTCAACAGTTTTCTTCTTGACATCTCCAAAGTTGTATGCAGAGATTCGATAGGAACAGGTTTGTCCTGCAGTGGGCGCATGCCAGCTAATGTATAAATTTTTCAAGAAAACTGTATTTCTTCGTAGGTTTTTTTTAGGTAAGCATATGGTCCTGCTCCAGGTCCACAGGAAGAAATTCCAATAGGAATATGTGGTACCTTTGTACTTTAATTTTATGTATGTGCTGTCCTTTATGTTGTATGTGTGTACATAAATAAATAAATAAAATAAATAAAATGGTATTGCTTTCGACTATAAAGAGAAGATATAACAGTTTTCACATGCAAATTATGATTAATATCCATACATTGATGATTTATGGAGTTTCTTGCTCGTTCTTCCCCATAGGAATCTACACCTTGGAATGAGCAAATACCTTCACGTTTAATTTTTTATTGACGTTCAAAAGTAACTTTGTGGTCTAATTGAAATAAATGATTTTGACTTTGACATTAAAAAACGAACATTATTTAAAAGACGTTTGCCAAATAAAAATAACACTCGTTTCGATTTTTTCTATTTTTAATTACGATTGTATCTATATACAGTCGGGTGGGCGTCTAAATAAAGACAAATCGATATCTAATTTTAGTTACTGAACAAAAAAGGTATACAATATATCATTTATTGTATGCACTGTTGATCTAATCAGCTTCGTAAACATAACATAACATAACATCACGCCTTTTATCCCCGAAGGGGTAGGCAGAGGTGTACATTATGCCACTGTACAATGTAACACCCACTTTTCACTATTTATGTTATGAGTCCCATGTAATAGGGGGTGAGCCTATTGCCATATACCGGGCACAATTCCAGACTCCGTGCTACTACTGAGAATTTATAAAAACCCAGTAGTACTTCGCCCGACCCGGGAATCGAACCCGAATCAGCTTCGTAATGACAGTGCAATTAGCCTTGACAGTACATGTAATGTATGAGTGCAGAGTTAATGCGTTCGAAAAGTGCATTCATTAGTATTAATATATAATCATAATAATATTGTTCATTCAAACTTTTTATTCATTTAGCACGTGAAACATTGTGTTGTGCAAGATGTTTTGTTTAGATCTGTTTTATGATTGCTTATTTACTTAGTAAGATTGTCTGTAAACGAGTAATGAAAATGAAATTTTGGTGTTCCAGGTGTGCATGGGCAACGCCGATGGCTTACCATCAGGTGATCCGTCTGTTCGTTTACTGACTTATCCCATAAAAAATACCCATGTACGTATCTTAGTCTGCTTTTGTGAGCCGCGAATGACTTAACAGGATACCGGGGCTCCGGCTCGAAGAGCTAGAATAGTTTTTCTTCAGTTCAACGTAGTAGTTTATAGTGGGTGAGAGTCTGACACTCCCCCTCGCCTCACCGAAGGCGGGAGAAGTCGTTGTATGAATTTTTTCTCCTTAAAAAAGCTGCTTTTGTGAAACCTATGGGAAGAAAGTTGTGACCAACGTACCTATACGATCAATTCCATATTTTTTTCTGTGTAATTTTTTATTTTAAATTACGTTGGAAATATTAAATTAATCGACACTAGGCTTTTCTCCTGTGTCGTGGATGCGTTTACAAACATAAAAGTTCACATATACATACACCCAGACCCAAAACAATAATTTGTAGATCACACAAAGAGTTGTTCCGTGCGGGAACCGAACCCGCGACACTGTGCGGCAGCCAGTTGCCCACCTACCGCCGCAAGCGTGCAGTCAGTGTATCTACGATGAGAGATCGAATATCTGTTTACATTGATCGTTTTAAAAATGTATGTATGCTGATTGGTCAATATAATTTGAATTTATTTAAGCGAAGGTAAATTGATACCTTTTTTATAATGTCACATTAATTATATCTTTTCTTATTGCTACTTATAATATCGTTCATACATCTTAATTACATCCCAAATACATTTAAATAAGTAAAAATGTGTCAGGTATTAAAATAATCTTTTTAAATATTGCAATATAAATGGAGGGTTACGCAAAGTTTTATTCAAATAAAATGAAAATTATCTTTAAAATTACCTGTCTTTATTTCAAGAAATTAAAATTACTACAATGTGTTTTTATTAACTGATGTGGTATAAAGTAAGTATGGTGCCTTATTTTAAGTGATAAACTTAAAAATACTGCTATGGTTCAAACGAAACTCTCCTGTTACCTTTTTTTTCGAAATTGCTTATATGCTTATGCTTATATCCTATAAAATTAACTTACAATAATAATCGTAGACATTAAAAGCTGAGACTAGAAATAGTAGAATTTTTAAATTAGACAAACCACACTATAGTGTCATAGATTTCTCAAATAGGGGTTTTGTTTTATTTTAGGTATTCAAGCAGTAATCAAAGTGAAGAAGGAGTAAGAAGTTTGCATAATAGACTTAAATAGTTCCATATTGAACACCACTATGCCCATCCCAGTCAGAATCATCTCCTTCTGGGCCTTGGTGATCATGAAGATCAGCTGTTTAGTGACCTTAGGGTCTGCCCATGCTTCCCAGTCGACGAGGTACAAGTCGTTGGGAATCTCTTCACTGACCTGTAAGAAAATTTACACTAATTTGTTAAAATGATTTGTCAATTTAATTGATTTATCAGATGAATTACATATTATATTTTAGGGTCTCTTATCTCTTATAGACAAGTAACTGTTACTTTCTTTAATTATTTTTCTTCTGAATTAATAGTGATGTGAAAATCTACATATCTTGCTGCCTTTATCCTAAAGTACTTTAATTGATACACAACCAAAAGAGGTTTTCTTGCTAGACCACACGATCAGAAGGCGTTGTGTAGCTGGATCACACAATTCCTTCTATACACAAAATTGCCATATAATATACTAATGCAAAATCAAATTACACTCAGATAATTATTTTAATTTAAATCGTATGTAACCGACTAGATAGTACCTAGTAAGTGCTATGTCGAAGTACTTGATTTAATAAATCACGGCTGTACTACAACCTGTTCTTACATCTTGATAGTCGTTATGAACACACAGCTTATGGTCTTGCTAATGTTCTCATTACTAGAAGGTAATCATTAGCTACTGGATAAACACTATCTATTTGATCTAACAACTGTTGCGTTGTAATATATCCTTGTTGGCTAATTGTGATTTTTGTTGCAGGAAATAATGCACGATTTGACTTGACCGCGCAACTCGCTGTATATAAGGGCATACAATTTTTAGTCTACGAAACATCGGCTACTGATCGTTCAGATTAATCAGATTGTTGGGTTCTAACTGTGTTTGTGTTAATAAAATTTAACCAAAGAATTGACATGTTCATAACAGATTAACTAAAGACTAGAAAGAATTGAAAAAATGAGGAAAATCTAACACTGGAAGGTCCTTAAGAATAAATTAAATTAGTATTTCTAATATTGACAGTACTTCCGTCTATTAACAGTGGCCTATGGGTTATTACTGAAGCAGTAAGCGAACGTAATTAAGAACAGAAATCAATCACCTACCTTCGTTAAGGAGCTCGCATATTGACAGGGCAAGTAAATGTGCAAAACGCCGACCAACCCAAATGACGTGTATTTGGGATCTATCCGTTGCAGTAAATATATTTGGTACAAGTTGAACGATATCATGAATGATGTCAGCATAAACACAGCAAACAACCAAGGCCCAAACACATTTTGCGATTGAACATAAAAATCTAAAGCTTCTTGATGGTCTCTGATTGCCTCATTCATTTTCATTCGTAATTCATATTTATTTTTTGAATATTTAAAGGCATCATGAACTTTTAACACCATCAACTTCAATTTTAACTGTATATGTGTTGTCGCTATACAGAAAGAGCCATCAAATGCGCAGTAATTGGGAACAAGAACTACGCATTGGACGCAGTTATAGGCAAACATACACTGGAAGAAAGGGGTTTCACTCTGAATGTCTTCCACATAAAGAAGTTCCATGTCATGTACCATGCGTCTTTGGTAATCATCCGTCTGGATGCTCTCAATACTCATCAAGGTCCCAGCATAAATAGGAAACAAAGCACTCATGAGTACAGGTACCAATAACCAGGATATCTCCCCAAATTTAGCTATTTTGATATGTTCATCGTACAATTTTTGCTGTCGTTCTCCTAAATTATTAGCTTCCAAAAGGTCTTCAGATATTTTGTCCAGTAGTGTTGCAAATTTTTGAGTTGCATAAATAGCATAATACGTTTTGATGAAAAACAGAATAAGAACGACTGCCAGAGTCATGTTTCTGGCGAAATTGTAGAGGTCTAAGGTGTAGAGGCATTTGAAGGTGTAGGTGATAAACCAGAAGAGTTGGCCACCACAGAAGGTGACAATCAGAGTGATGGTGATACACCTCTTGACGGCTGTGTTCCTGTTGGGATACAGGAAAGCGAAAGCTAGGGAAAAGGCGCACAATTTGAAGGTATCATTGAAGGTTTTGTATTTTTTCTGTGTCAGAATGTCTGATTTTATTTCCATTTTTTCTTAGATGTTTTAAAACATGTGGTGCTTATAAGAAACTCAACAATAAGTGAGAAATAAGTAAGTGTACCACCATATTAAGGGCAATCACGCCATAAATTACGAGGCAATTTATTAGTAGTAAATCACCAGCTAAGGTGTAACACCTCATAATTTAGACACACTTGTTTTCAGCACTTTGTGTTCGCATTATTAAGTCGCAGTGTTATTTTTCCTTGACTAGTTTTTTAATGCGTATCGGCTTGAGTAGGTATTTATTTAACATTCCAAATAAAATTTGAAGTTCTATTTATAATACAATGGTTACAACTGGCCTGTTACGTAATTTTTTTAAAGTTCCTTACTTCAAAAACGCTGCAACAGATGTTTCTACTTTCCAAAATTCCTAAAAGGCTGTAAATGCATAAAATATTTTGGTCATATCCAAAGTGCATGAAATCATGATTTTGCACGTCATTTAAAGTACCTAAATAGGCTTTTTAATAAGCTGATCTCAGCTTACATTGTAACAAAAGTTCAGTTATAAAATTCAGAACCTCTTTCTTTTATTTGAATTCGGCAATAATGTGCCTTCATGCCATAATATATAAGTCTAGGATATATTAGTATATGTGTTGGGTTTAAATTACCAGACTGTTAAGAAGAGTCTTAACAGTCAACTTCGTATCGCTATATTCATAACACCTTAATATCATACAAGTCCTGTATAGATATTGTAAAATTATCTATATAAGCAAAAGTAAGTGAATGTAGCACCGTCCAGTTTTCGACGTCGCAATGCGAAACTTTCAAGTGCTCGAGATTTTTGCTCGAATTATTATTTAAAAACAGGATTTCGTTACGAAATACCCAAAACGAGGTGACACGAAAGTGCAAGGGCTTTTGAACGGTTGATTTCATAACTTGAAAATCAATCTGTCCAATTAAGTATGACGTGATTACATTAATATAATTTTGTAAAAATGCGAATTTTTCAAAATTATTTTTTTACTTTACTTCTTCGTCGAAAAGTTACAATTGGGATGATGCCAGGGTATGAAAATTAAAAATCGAATTAGTCCGTAAGTTAGGTACCTAATGAAAAAATATTAGACACGTTTTTTTTATTTTGTCGTATAATAAAACAATACTTAGGCAAAACGAATCAAAGTTTAGGAGTATGGCCTAAAACGTAATTTTTACGTATAAAATTTACATAGAAGTGACGTCACGCGACATTTCAAATCAATATATCGTCGTAAGTATTCGTTTCTGTAAGAAAATAAAAAATACGTGTCTGATGATTTAAAATAATCTACCAGACGGACATTAAAATAAAAATTAGGCATCTACCCTATTATAACTACCAAGTAAGACTTGAATAATTCAAAGTTTGATTTTCTATCTGGGAAAAGTATTATTGGGTCTTTTATATCTTTTTGACCACCTGGTCAATTGAACCATGGTATGAAGTCGTATCACACGCAAGCTAGCGTGCTACGGCCCGACGCATTCTTATATTGAGCAATTCATAGGATAGCTCAACATTTCTCCTTAACATCTGAAATATAGTTACTCATTTGTAAATGTGAGTAACACATCTATAATATCAATAAGTCACGCTGAAACGAACGAGGCATAATATGATACTGTCTTTGCCCATTCCTGGGAAAAATCTCAAATCTCCATGTTTGGTATGAGTTATTCAGTAAGAGACTGACACTCTCGCCTCACTTAAGGCGAGAGATATCGTTGGATGATTCCCTCCCCCCTACTTAAAAAAGGGTTCCTGCTACTGGTTTCTTGGCATTGTCCACTAAAAATGAGGGGTTACTCACGTGAATACACTGAGAAAAGCTCTACTAGTTTCGAATCATAGAGGGACTCTTGCTCATGATGTCGCGCAGCCTACTTTAGAGTTTAGTAGAGCTTTTCTCAGTATATTCATGTGAGTAACCCGTCATTTTTAGTTGATTCAGTATGTCTCATGATAGTTATTATAAAAACACAGGAGATTTGATTGAAAGAATTTGAAATCGAGTCCGGTATTAGGCAATACAGTTGCTTGTATCTATAATGGAACTTAAAGCATAGCTAATGAACAGTGGGTGTACCATTAGCAATGGTACCTCTTCATCATCATCATACTATGTATTTATGTATCTATATTACAAAATTTTTGATGCAATAGAAACACCTATATTGTTTTCACCAAATATCATTATTCTAAACAAAGAAACATCACTGTTAGTACTAACAGATGTAACTTTGATTGTAATAATAATTAACAGTTTCTTCTGCAAGTGATTTCGTACACTAACTAGCTTTTAATTTCTTTGGTAAGTTACACAATTTTTGTAAGTTAAGAGCTTGGATATGTTTGAGAAAAATGAGTTCTTTATTATGTTGAGACAAGAGTAGCAATGAATTAGGTTTCAAACCACAGACAGGTTTATTTTGTTGTAACTGTGCGGTTCTTTGTCGAACTGCGCAGATTTTCAAAGTTCTGAATTTTCTCTGAAACCCCGACCTTGGATGAAAAGCATTAAACTAATCAGTTTTGATTTTTCATTGAATTACAGATTTTTGAAAATCGAACAATACACAAAAATAGCTACTTATTTTTTTTTATTTGATGGGCTGACGTTTGACCAATAGCTCGCTTGGTGATAAGCAATGATGCGGTTGTTACGCTACGGTGCAATAGACGGCCCAACGGTGTAAATGAGGAACTTTTGTGCATCGCGACAACTTTCCGTACACGAGGCGCGAACTCAGCATAAATTGTCGATCTAATTTCAACCCGTGTAAAGAGCGTCATTCTTGGTACAACATCGACCAATTATCACCTACTTATTGTAATTTTAATTAATTAAAGTTATATTTTAAGAAACAATTTGGTTTCCTTTGCATCCTCCGGCTACAGCCTACGTAATTGGCGCAGTCGGTAGGATACTCGCGGGCCGGTTCGCGAGAGTAAATTGCTAGGATCGCTAATAGTCCTCAAAGTCGCGAGCCACCCGGGTGGTTATCAAGCACCGCACGAGTATCCGAATCTGGGAGAGCTGCAGCCACGAGGGGTATCCAGACATCGATACAGTAGAGGTACCATTTTGTGCAAGTAAGTACGCTAGAATCGTTCTAGAGTCGCTTTCCATTTTATCCTTAAGTGTTTCCCTAATTATCCAAGATTTTCCATCCAAGGCAATCTCGGTTATCTAGGTTAGATAGTAATAGTAATAGAATTAATATTTTAGACGCTAACAGAAATTTAGAAGCATACCCGTGTGAAAGTAGTAGTTCTCACGCTTCGAATATGGCTGAATCAGTGGATCATATTTACAAGGCCCTACGACTGGTGCCGGAATTCGACGGTAACTCGAACGTATTAACTCGCTTTATAAAATTATGTGATCAACTGGTAAATCAATACATGAGGAACGAGCCAGGTCGTGAATTAATTAATTTGGCATTATTAAATGGAATTTTAAATAAAGTAGTAGGGTCGGCAGCGAGGTTGATTAATACGAACGGGATTCCAGATTCCTGGGAAGGAATAAGAAGTTCTTTAATAAATAATTTCGCCGATCAGCGTGATGAAACGTCCTTGTATAATGACTTAGCCCTTTTAACTCAAGGTACGGCAACTCCCCAAGAATTTTATGAACAATGCCAAAATCTTTTTAGTACCATTATGACTTATATCAGTCTGCATGAAACGGTAGCCACTACTATTGAATCAAAGCGCACTCTTTATAAAAAACTTACACTACAGTCGTTCTTACGTGGCTTACGTGACCCGTTAGGTTCTCGTATTCGTTGCATGCGGCCTGATACTATTGAAAAAGCCCTTGAGTATGTACATGATGAAATGAATACGCTATACTTACAGCAGCGCAATGAACGTGCTCCTGAAAAGAAGTTGCAGTATCAGCATCAGGTTAGTCCGAGATTTTCTTATGGTTTTAAGCCACCCGTGCAAACGGCGCCGCCTTCAGCGCACCCGTTTACCTTATCGCCTCCTAGGCCTTTTAATATACCAGGACCGTCGCGACTATTCACGCCTCAGACTCAACAACCATTGTTGAGGAATCAACCCCCTCAATACCGTGGTCCCTCACGGACTCAACAGATGTTTAGTGCGCCACCACCTAATAATGGACCGCAGAATGTCTTTAGAATGCCAGGCCCTAAGCCTTCCGGGAGTAATTTACCGCAACCTATGAGTGGTGTTAGTCACTACGTAGCAAAACCATTCGCCCCGCGTCCAACCCACGATTGGTCGAGAGCTGGTAACCCACCACCTTCGAATTATTTTAAAACAAAGCAGGTAAATTATAACGATTTTACATGCCCGGTCGAGTATGATTACTACAACGATTTTTACAATACCGATAATTATTATCCTTATGATTATTTCGAAAATTCTTACGAATTTAGTTGCGAGCAACCACAGACTGAAGATACGTACACCATAGAAGAAGTTCCTTGCACTCAGCCTTCTGATAATGAGGATTTTCCGAAGGACTCCAAATCAGACAAATTAAAATAGAAATAAATTTACATACCCAGAGACAGTTACCATATATTCAAATTTCAAATCCCCCGCTCAAATTATTAATCGATACAGGTGCAAATATGTCGTTCGTCAGTCCAGCTGTCGCTCAACAATTCTTTCCTCACGTACCATACAATTACGACCCTTTTGAAGTCACCAATATTCACGCTACTACTAGAACTGACTACTCCATCACTATACCCTGTTTTAAAGAATTTAATGAGTCGGGTGATATTACTCTCTCCGTGTACGCGTTTCACGAATATTTCGACGGATTGATTGGCTATGACTTATTAGAAAAATTAGAATCTACCATAGACTTAAAAAATAAATTGCTAATTACACGGAACTCTAGTAATCCATTATTAATGTATAATTCACGCAACAGCAACCTATACGAAGACATAATACCGGCTAACTTATCTAAATTAATTAATGTCCCTATAAATTCTCAAGACGGTGAAGTTTTCATTCCTGAACAACGAATCTCAAACTGTTTAATAGGCAATTGCATTACAAACGTTAAAGATAGTAGAGGCATAATAG